CTCTCTCACACACACACACGCTGGTGGGGCTGGGATGGTCAGACCGCGCTACTGTACGCCCCCCTTTACCTCCTGGCTGTACGTGTTTAGCGCCGCGCTGAGCTGGCTGAGCATTTACTCACATCGAAAGAAAATATTTTGACGCGAAAATATTGGGGTTGCGTCGATCGTGACGTCACGTGCGATGAGGCGAGAGAAAGCAGATTTAGCGGGCGTTGCTGGCGGTGGGCTGGTGGGTGTTGGTGCTTGTTGCCGGGTGCGGTGAAGTGCATCTCGCATCCACGCGGCTCCTATTTCTGCCCCGTGAAGACTACTTTCCTGGCGTTCCTCCCTGACCGCCTGCCTCCGCCCACCCATCGCCCTCGCCACTCCTGTCTGCGGATACACGTTGCACTCATCTGGCTCTGCGAAGCCTAGCCTAGAGAGAGGAGTCATTTTAGGGGAAACAAAGAAAAAAAAACAAAAAAAAAAACACACACACACACACACATTGGGTTGTGGGTTGTGAGACGCTTCTCTTGGGGTTTTCAATGTCAGGTGCAACTGCTTTGCTCTGAGACCAAGTGGGCACCCACACGCTTTGAGTACGGTTAGTGGTGCTGGCCATTCAATTTCCCCCCCACCTCTTTAAAATATAAATGATACACTGCCTTATACTACGCTTCAGATGCGACCGGTCCCGCCGCCCTTCCCTGTTATTCGTCTCAAGAGAAAACTGGCTTGTATCTTGTTGGTATGATACATTTCTTCCTTGGACATTCATCTATGAGATTTCTATTGAAATCGCCAAGACAAACACGAAAAATCTAATAACGAGCCCTGAAGGTGCACTATAAGAGGGTGTTCCAGGCTATTTAAACTAGAAGTGAAAAGGAACAAACTCACTGATTTATCGGTTCCCGTTCAGTGTGTATGAGTGGGTGCACCCAATAAAGCATTGCGGTAAAGCTGAAAAATGCAAAAGAATGTGGGGAACAACAAAACGGAAATCACTATGCTGTAGCATGGTGACTTCCGTTTTGTTAATCCACTCATTCTTCTCCTTTTCAGCTTTACCGGAGTGCATTATTCTAACCTCTCAAACAAGGAGGGGAGTTCGAAACTGACAGTTTCTCATACCTAAAGGTAGAGGCACGTGATTAGCTTGACTAACCAAAGCCAATACGGAAACAGAAAAAATCACAAGTATGTTATTTTTCTACTTCCGTTTTGCATGGCCTGGAACACCCTATTCGGTTGTGACATCACGGTACGGGTGCGGGGTACGGTAGCAGAAATGCCCCTTGTTGACCCAAAATAAGAGCCCATGTAAAACCGACCAATTTAAGATTCTTTGTAATTCCTAGATATGATTGGGTTGTTGTCTCTCAATGAGTTAATTTAAATATACTTTCAGCCTCCAGCCTCCAGCTCACTAGGCTCGGGCTAACGTGGCCCACGCCTTTTGACTTTCGCCACGTCCCTAAGGTAAGTATCATCATCCGTGACTTTGTCGTTCACCTACTGAAAGCTCGCCAAACAGTACTTTACCCTATCGTTTTCGAGCGAGCGAACTCACAACCCCAAAGGACGGACGGTTGTGTATAGTAGTCCTGGGGGCGCCCTTCTTATCAATGGGTGCGAGTGCGTAGTACTAGCGGGGCGGGGGTTGGGAGGAGTCGCGGAGGAGGGGGGCCCCGCGGGGGTGTGGCCCGTGTACTGACGAGCCCCCCCTCGGGTGAGGGGGCGGGGCCATGCAGGGTGCCGGGACGGCGGCGTGCCGACGCCGAGCCTGGACGAGCCCCCCTCTCCTCTCCTCCTCTCCCCGCCGGGCGCTCCGCCGCGCCGGCCGGCCGGCTGCTGCCCCAGCTCGCTCTGCGCGCCGCGCGCCGTGCCGCAGCCGCACCGCACCGCACGGCACTCCACACCGGACCGGGGACCGGCACTGCACGCGTAGCAGAGGGTACGGAGTACGGACGGGACGGACGGTACGGGCACCGCGTCGTGGCATCGCGTTCATCGAGCTAGAGCCTTATTGGCAGAATCAGCAGCATCATGAGCGGAACGGCGTCGTCGCGCGCCCTCCGCGTCGTCATCGCCGTCCTCGGCGTGCTCGTGGTAGCCGCCGAGCCCCACCGCCATCACCAGGACCGCGAGCGCGAGCACGGCCGCCTCGCGGACCTCGCCCCGGAGGTGCTCCAGGAGCTCCCCGAGGAAGTGGTGCGCGCCGAGCAGGACCAGGAGTGCGCCGCCGACGTCGCCGGGGAGTCCGTGATGGTCGCGCGCTGCAGGGCCACCTGCCTAGAGAAGGTAAGGGTGATCATTTTTGTTCACTGTGGTACTACTGTACGCCTGGTTCATTTTGAAACTTTAAACAATTGTTCATGTGTTTCGTATTTCACACCGTTGTTATTTCTTAAGGGTTGTTAAAACTTAAGGTCGCATTAAGCTTTCATATGCCAATACAGCTAGGAACAAACTAACTGTTTATTGTGATCAAAGTTCAAAATTCTGGCCTCTGTAAGTCGACTCTTGTGACTCCTCCTCATTCACTGCCGTGGCCGAAATTTCAAATATGAACCACAGTAAAGAGTTATAGTCGCTGGGGAAAGAGTTTGCGATTTTTGGGCGACTGTGTGAATAACCGCGTATTCAACGTATGTACGCGGTATTGCTCATTGCACAGGGATTGATTTTTTTCCGTCGTTCCCGATAATTTCGCACTATGCCCCCTTTCCTTCCTTAATTGTGGGTTCGACCCTCATACGGCGCGCTACCACACAGCACACACGGCTCTCGCTCCTCCTTGTAAATAATGTGCTCCGTTTCGTAGCGATGTTCCCGTGATTGTTCAGGGGCCGTTCGTCCCCACGCGCCCGGCCCGTTCTCCTCACAATCACTTCATTAATTAGCGCGCTGGACGTTTTCTGTGAATCCCGCGCCCGGATACTGGAAACACCAACTGGAATCGCGCGCGCTGTATGAAATCTTTTCCCCGTAGCAGCGGCTCTGGCCCGGCCCGGCCTGGTCCGGCGCGGGAAACTCGGAAACGAGGCGTGTTGCCCTTGCCCTGCGGCCAGTCCCATTCTCCTCGGCTGATTGCCAGGATTTGACTAAAACCCAATAATCCATTGTTGTGGCCGTGGTCTTCAATGAGCGCGGGGGGAGGGGCGGCCCGGGGGGAGGACGGGCCCGGCTGTGGCCTGGTCGAGAAGCGGGGCTGCTGGAGCCCCCGGGCTCGGGGATTTCCCGGAAAGAGGGAAAGTGTAGGTAAGGGGTGGAAGCAGCAGAACTGGACGAGGGGATTTCTGAGGTGTGCGATTCAGCTGAGGACGTTGAATAGGAGAAGTATTAAGAATGAGCGTTCGCCTAATCGGGTACCTGGGACCTGGGCCGGTCATTGCACGGTCATTGCGCCCGCCGTGCAGTCAGACCGGGAAGATGTAGGCGATTTACGATTTTAGATTTGCGGATAGGGGACTGCGGTCCGATCCGATCGAAGCGGGCCGGCAGGACCTGGTGTGAGAACTGCCCTGTGGAACCAATAACGAGACGATGTCGAAACGATCAGAGTGACATCGAAACGATGTACACAACGATGTCATTTTATATCGTTTTGACGGGTATTTTCTTGAGCCAGAATCATCGCCCGGCCAGCTAGGCGTCCGGTCGGACTTAGGCAGCCGAATTTCGGTTTCTAATTGCGGATTACAAGCGAAGTGCGCAAAATGAGCAACTGTAGCGCAAGTCTTATTGGAAATCGCAGAGTGTATACTGCACCGAAAATCACAAATCCCTAAGCGCAAATCGCAGTAAATCGTTAACCAATAATAAACCTATCTCCCGGGTCACCCTGCCGCGACCCTACACCACCGTGCCTGCCGCGGTTGCGGGCGGACCAGGGCGAGGACCGGCGGGGGCCGCCACGCGCGCCGCGCCCCGGCGCACGCCCCCGACCAAGGCCGCGACCGGGGAGTCCGCCGAGTCGAAGGGCGTCCATCGCCCGCCTGGCGTCCGTGAGTCAGGATCAGGAGGCACTGTGAGGTCAGAGAGAGGAGCTCAGGACGTTACCGTGTAAACACTGGTCGATGCACACAAGTGCGTCATCGCGACCTCGGCACCCAGCCTGAGTTAATTTTGACTCGACCGCTTTGGACAGTAACCCCTCGGTGTATGTACTCGGGTCCCGTCCAGGGGTTAGAGCCCCACCACCCCTCCGTACCCCCTTGTCCCGGCCCCTGGCGCCGTGCGCCTTTGCGTCACGGATGAGACCCGGGGGCCTGAGCGCTGCTGTTTACAGCAAGCCTTCCGATCTGGTTTGAACCTCTTTTCTTCCCCTTTCTTATGGTTCGAGGCGCCTCCGCCGGTGCAGCGCGAGGCTCCCGCCCGGGCCGCTTTGGCTCTGCCATGCCCCAGGCCGCAGGGTTTCCGGCGCGACGGCGGAACCTTGTCCAGGTCCTTGGACGGCGCCGGGCCCCCGGCCTGGATGGCGGGGCGTGGCGCGGCTGGGCTGGGCGACGCGACGGCGACAGCGTGGCGCGGAGCGGAGCGGCGGCGCGCCGGACGACGGGGCCGCCGGCCCCCGCACTGCAGGCCAAGCCCGGCCCAGCCCAGCCCGGGCGGCGCTCTTTGGCGCCGTCGCCCGCGAGTGCGCGGGGAGCGCGGCGGGGGGCGCACTGCACCGGCTGCGCGGGCTGCGCCGGCCGGATGGACGAGCAGCCCGACGAGGCGGCCTACGCGGAGTCGCCAAAGAGTCACGCCCCTCCGTGTCCGCCCGCGCGCCGCCGGCCCGCGAGTGTGGCCGCGGTGGTAGTCGACTTGGCTTACAGTGGGGACCGGACGTCCTGAACGCCGCAAGCAGCATGCGCGCGCATGTGTGTGTGCACGCCCGCCTGTGTGTGTTTGTGTGTGTCTGTTGCAGCGTTCCATTGCAGCGGACGGCGGCCCGGCCTGGTAAGGCGCTGCCGCGGCTCGCAATGTAGTGTTTAGGAGATAGCCGTCAGATATGGGGCCCATTTCCTTTCCCGAGCGCGCGGCCGGCGCGGCGCCACGACGGGCATCAGAGTGACCGGCCGACCCTGCCGCCGACACGGTCCGGCCCGCTGCCCGCGCCGCCGCCGTCACGTCCCTTGTAATTGCCTCACGTCGGCTTCACCTCTTCCTCCCGCGGCACCCTCCCCAGCTACCATGCTGCCGCCCACCCCCGCGCCGCCGCCGCCGCCGCGAGGAGGCCGATGAGGTGACCATAACACGATTTATACTCCGCGGCCCGGGTGATTGACTGAACGGGGGCAGCGCGGCGACGGCCTGGGCCGGGGCACGGCCGGGGCACGGCCGGGGCCCTACATGGGCGCCCCTACATGGGCACGTGCACGCCGGCCCAGCCCCGCGGCCGCGCCACATAAGTCGACAGGTGTCGCCGACGGTCCCGCCACCACCACCAACCGGCTGCACACAAAGCCCCTCAGCAAGCTGTAAGCCTGCCCCCGGGGGCCGAGACGCGCGCGCTCGCCGCGGGGCCGCGGGGCGCCTGCACCAGCGGGGGGCGGGCCATGGGCCATATCGTGCAACGGTCAACCCCCCCGTCGGATTCCGCACTGCCACGGGCGCTGCTTTGGTGTCGCTGTGCTTTGGGTGGGCTCATAGGTGTGGCAGACTAACGCCGCTGCTCGGTTCTGACCCGCGCACGCTGCCGATACGCAGCTCCCACCGTGTCGTCGGCGCTGACCTCGACCCCGCGCTCTCCGCCGGCCCGGCCAGGTCGTCTTGACCGATGACTCACGCCCTGGTCAGCCACCTGCTGTCCGCCACCTGGCCAGCCTAGCGCGGCCCGCGCACCGCGCTCACCGCTTCTGCCGTGGAGCCCCAAAGCCCCCTCTCTCTCCACATTTAGGTCTTTTGCCTCGTGTGTGTGTGTTTTTTGCGGTCAGTGTGTTCGGCTGTTCGGCGGCGCTCGGTAACGGGAGCGAGAGGCGGGCGGCGGCGGCGGCGGCCGTGGGAACCCCGCGAAGAGATGGAGGGATCTAGTGTAGTATGCGAATGTGCGTGTCTGCCCAGAAGCACGCACGCGATTCGGCGTGGCTTGGTGGGGTGTGGCGTGGTGCGGCCGGGCGGGGCGTGGCATGTTGTGGCGGGGTGCGTCAGGGTGGGCCCATAGGGTGTCGGGTCTGGCTGACAGTCCCTCGTCAGCAGGACAACTTGATTTTTCTGACGGTTCCGGGGTCCGGGGCACATCTACAGAGGCGCGCCAGCAGGGCGAGTCAGGCCCTGACGCCCCCCCCCCTCTCCGACACACCCCTGTGCCGACTGAGTGACGCTAATGAATGGAGAGGAGTCGAAATGAGACGTTTGGGACCTCACGCCCTATCGCCCCGCCCCTCGCCCCGCCCCGCCCGCCCTGCTAAAACCCCCGGCGCCACAGTCGCCCAGGGCATGAACTGTATGATTAAGTTTTGTAACGCATTTTCGTTTCGCGTCGTGTGTAGAGTGACGCTTTTCCCCCCGCCTGGTCTCCTGGCGCGTTTCTGTGAAGAAGACGATTCGGTGGGATGCGTTTGAATTCCCCCCTTTCCCCTTAACTTTTGCTTCGCCCACCCGTCGTCCGCATCCGAGAGAAATTACCCTCAATTACATCGCCACCCCCACCCACTCGGCTCGCCGTCCTCGTCTCTCTCGCCGGACCCGCCGGGTCGAGGGAGTGCGACGAGGACAACACACGCCATATACGTTGCACGTCCTGCATTACACCCCGACCCGACCGACGCTCTAATAGTTTCATCAAGTGTCATTGTCTTGGCCTCTCTCGCTCTCTCTCTCTCACACCTACTCACCTCCTCCCTCACACCTCGCGCCCCCCTCATTGCACGTGTGTGATTGTTACTTTTCTGGAGCTCACCTCGCTCTCGCACCCTCTATTTTCCTCGGGTCGGGACCCTGCACTTTTCACGTCACGTGTGGTACGTACGGACGCACGTTCGTACGCACGCACGTATGTTACGTGCGCGCGAGCGAGCGCGGGTTGTGCCTGTGCGTGCGAGAGAGAGAGACGGAGCAGAAGAGAACGAAAGACGCCGGCTGGGGCGGCGCGGGGCGGTGCGAGGGCCAATTGCGTATGGATTGTTGTCTCATTTCGTTTTTCCTTTTCCGTTGTGTTTCAGTTCGCCGCGCCCTCCGAGGGCGGCCCGGACTGCGCTTCCCGGAGCGACGACTGCATGATGGTGAGTACACACACCCTGTTTTTCTGTTTTGCTTTTCTTGCTCGTTCCTTGTGCTAAGCGTAGTATGTTTCTATTCGATTTTATTATCACTTGTTTTTGTGGCGATAGAAATATCCTGATGGCCCTTGTGTTTACATACACCTCACGACCCACCCTTATTACGAACGAAATCGGCGGCGAGAAATAAAATCAAAGTCCCATGAGATGAAGGGCAGTGTAAGGGTGGTCCATCGGCGCCTTTCTTTTCTTCTGCTTTATGCTCTATACTGGATGCAGGCGTGCAGGTGGGTTGCATACACGCACGGGACCGCGTAGGGCGCCTCGGTGAGCCACGGATAGGCAAGCCCGCACGCACGCGTGCATCTGGTGTAAGTAAAGGTGGATTCAGAGTTCCCTAAAAGCGAGCGTGATTTTCACGCCCGGCGTGATGAAAGTCGATTCCAGATTGGCTGCGTTAAACTTACAAAGCATGAAAACCACGCCTGGCGTGAAAATAACGCTTGCGTTTCGTGAACTCTGAATCCACACTAACGCAACCAGAAGAAAGAAAGGCGCCCATGATGGGATGGGGGATGGGACCACCACCCTGCTGTATGGAGGAACACGGCATCCACCACCAGGCCAGAGACCATGCCACAAACCCGCGCGATCGCGCGCGCGGAGCTGCAGACACGAGGAAAACAACAACAAAAACAACACAAAAAGAAAGCAAAAATTGAGCAGTAACATTTGCGACGGCGGCATTTATTCCCCTCCGACTGTAAACGTCAAAGGGGCATCGGGAGGCGGGGCGGCGCGGGGCGGCGGCGCGGTACTACATATTGCACCATGAAAACCTTTTGCAGCAGCGCGCGCAGCGCCCTGGCTGCGCCCCGAGCCGCGCAAGGAGAAGGGCCTGTGCACGATCAGGCGGGACGGACTCGTCGTCGGGCGAGGGAGACGTTCGTCGGCGACGACGTCCTGGTCCTGGTCTGGGTCCTCTGCTCCTGCCCAGCACCGCCCCTTTCCGACGCTTTCCGTGACGGCCCTTCCCTCACCCGGCCTCACTCGTCTGTTCTTTTTACCGCCGCGCCGCCGCGCCGCGAGGGGCGTGGCCAGGCGTGGCGTCATGCGAGAAGGGCTGAACTTCACTATGCGAAATGTAATTTACGGCGGGCTGACACCACGCCGCGCCGCGCCACGCCACGCCACACTCTGCCCTCCATCTTTAGCTTTTACGGCATTCCACCGCCTGTCCTCCAAATATACGTCGTACCCGATTTTCCGCCGCGCGTTTATTCCGTTTTTCTTTTTCTCTCTTTTCCCTCTTCTTCTTTTGATCCTTTTCTCCCGGCTCCCTCTCGCACCTTTGAGGAGGTAAAGCGCCCTGCCTTATAAGAACTGTCTCGGTCACACCCCTGTGTTGTGCCGTCACGTCTCTCGCCGTCTCTGTCTGTCTCTCTGTCTGTCTCCCTCTCCAACCACTGCCACTTTTTACTGTTCCCTCTCTCTCCGTCTCTTTTCCTCTCCCTCTTTTTCCGGTGAGCACATTCCTCACCCGTGTTACACACACACGCACACTCGCGCGCGCGCTCACACCCGCCGCACACCTTTAGCTCAACATTGAACGGCCGCCTCGGACTTTGTTGTCTGTCAAATGATTTGCAGGGCAACAACCAGCCGAGCCGAGCGATACCACGCCGAGGCTCTGGCCAAGCTCCGGCCAGGCTCCGGCCGAGCTCCAGCCAGGCCCCGGCCAGGCCGGTCAGGCTCAAAGCAGACTGCAGCCAGGCCGTCCGGGCTCCAGTCAGGCTCCAGGTGACTTCAGTCAGGCTGCAGTCAGTATACAGCCATGCTCTAGCCATGCTCCAGCCATGCTCTAGCCAGACTCCAAGCAGGCTCCAGGCAGGCTCCAGGCAGGCTCCAGGCAGGCTCCAGGCAGGCTCCAGGCAGGCTCCAGGCAGGCTCCAGGCAGGCTGGGGGGAGGGGGGCTCCAGAGGCAGGCAGCAACCTTGTCCGGGCGACACATCGGCCATGCCGGCCGGGGCCCGAGCCGCGGGTGGGTGCCTCTGACAAAGGCCATATTTTGTGTGATTATCCGTCGCCCCGCCGCCCTGCCCTGTCGGGCTTATCGCCATTACGCTGCTGAGGATGCGGGCGGGAGCGGGCGGGAGCGGGCGGGAGCGGGCGGGAGCGGGCGGGAGAGGACGGCCTGGCGTAAAACGCAGGAACAGAGGACAGACGGCGCGGTGCGGCAGCGGAAGAAACTGCGAGAGGACCGCGCGGGAAATGGCGAGTCAATCTCCGCCCATGGAACGGGAACGGGGAGATATATCGCCGAGGACAAATATATGGCGTGTCTCGGAGTTTCATTGCGACACGGGCACGGGCGGTCGTCCCCATGGCGCGAATGCGCGGCGGACGGCCATCGGATGACCCGATACATAACACGTTCCGTTGTGTGTTTCGTCCGGGACGGGGCCGCCGGGAGGGCCGCCGTCGGCGTCGGCGTCGGCGGGGTCCTAAAATGCGAGAGGAGGGGACACATGGACCTGCGGGAAAGGGTTGAGGGGGGGGGGGTCGAGGCTGGAGAAGAAGAGGGGCCCGAGGGGGGAGGGAGGCGGGAGGCAGGGTCGGCGTCCCGAAGGTCCCGAACGAGCCTCGTGATGGATACATTTTTACGACATTGTCGAATGTGACTGAGGCGGGGCGCACCCGACCACCAGACGCCCCCCTCTGTCGAGATTGTCTTGACGGGCTGGCTGCTGCTGCTGGAGGCTGGCCTGGACGGCCTTATCGGGGCCCTAATGCGCTTACACGTGTTTTGGCGACCGGGCCCCGCTGCCGCCGCCGCTGCTTGCGCCCCAGGAGCGGCCCGACGAGGCGCCCGGGGCCCCAGCTGCCCTGCCTATCGACCCAACAGGTGGGTCACATGTGGCGCCCCACAGCCCGCTGCCGTCACCGGAGCAGCGGCGCAGTCGCAGCCACCCGTTCCTCCTCACGAGATGCCGTTGCCTCCTGGTGCCGGCTGCCGTGTGTTGTTCGTCCTGGCGCGATAAACAACAACAAAGAGGCCACTGTTTTTATTTATTTTTCCAGCGGCAGCAGCAGGCGTCGTACGCGTATTTGTTTTCTCTATCGACTCTCTACTCCGAGTCAAAAGTGCGCCAACCGCGCATGCGACGCGTTTCGGGCGAAACGGTTTGGAATCGAATTGCAATTTCCGAGAAATCTCGAGCAGCAGGTCCTGCCGTCTGTCTCTCTCTGTCTCTCCCCATTCAGAGCGGGGCCCTGGCGCGTCCCGCGTCCCCGTGCCGCGCAGTGCTACGCACGCCCTACGCTGCGCTACGCTACGCCACGGCGCCACGACGCGTCCAGCGGGCGGGTCAGCGGATTCCTGGGGCCGCTTATCAACGCCAGTGACGCGCATGAGGGCGGGGCGCGCGGGGCGGGGGGAATGTTTATAGGGAAATCTATCTCTGTGTATCCTTGGCCACAACTCCCCCTCCCGCCGCCGCGCCGCCTCGCCCTCCCTGCTGCACCTCCCTGGTCGACTTCGTCAACTCCCAGATTAGGTTGTCTGCTCGTATTCCGGGCGCCTTGGTCGTTGGGGTTAGGACCCGACCCGGCCATCCATGCTGTAGGGACCCATTCGGCCATTATATGGCTGGGGAGATATGAGGCATCACGTTTCGTTTTCATCCCACCTCCACCTGCGCTGTGTGTGTGTGTATGTGTGTGTGTGTGTGATGTCTGCTGTCATGCTTTTTAAGCCTCAGACAGTCCGAGGCTGAGGTGGAGGTCTCCTGCTCGCTCAAGGACCCTTGGACCAGGTCCTCCACCCTGGTCGGTCGGTCGGTACTCCATCCATCGAGCCCCATATAGTAGAACGCCGCACTGCGTGCCGTCGTGATCTGGACGTTTTCGTTTGCTGCGAGATGAAATGAGGAAAAAACACCTTGAGAGGGATTCCTTCATACCGTCTCTCTGTGTGAAGAGGATAGCTTTGTTTGGGCCGTTCAAGTGTCGAATTGCCGCTCCAGTGTACAATGATCGCTTTACGCCTCGCTTTGTGATGCCGTGCCTTGCCGTGCCCAGTATGGCCCGCCCGCCCGGGATCGCCTTTCGTGCCAAATGTTTTCGTCCCACACTCCAACTGTCGTTTTGTCAGGTATCGGCCCTGTCCCTGTCCAGCCCCTCCTGGCACTGGGCCCCAGCGCCTCCGCTGTGTGCCTCCTGACGAGGGTCTTGTCGGCCGGCCGTGTCCGGGCGCCCCGGGACCTGCCGAGGCAGAATAAATGAAGAGGGAGAGAAAAAGCGGGAAGAAAAGAGAGTGGGAGAGAGAGAGACAGCGAGCGAGGCGACAGGGAAAGAGAGAGGGGAGAAAAAGAGAGTGGAAAACTTGACGCGCGAGGCATTTCTTCTAATTTACCTGAACCTGAAGAAGCGCGGGAAAACGGAATGGGTGTGAGCGTGCGCTTCTGTCTATCTGTCTATCTTCTGTCTGTCTGTCTGTCTGTCTGTCTGTCTGTCTGTCTGTCTGTGAGTACGTGTGCATGTGTATGAGAGAATCACAAACATGCCTCGAGTTCAAGACGAAGAAGGACCGCCTCTCTTCCTCACCCCACGCAGGTAATGTGCCCAGGACATGCAAAATCACGAATAAAATCACACACACACACACACATATGCACACAAACGAGCGCGCGCAAATCTCACGCCTTTGCGCTTGAACTTGGCTCGGGGCCGAGTCCAAAATGCCTAGTACGTACCTCCCTCGAGGTATCTGGCCTGTTGAACTCGTGTGCGTGAGCGTGTACCTGCTGCCTGCCTGCGCGCGCGCGCGGAGACCTGCGGCGGCACCTTCCCCTCCGCCCCTCCGGCGCCCTCCTCCCCCTCCGATACGACGCCGCGCCGATGGCCGGGCGCTGATATCAGATAATGCAGGGGCTTTAAAATATCGTCTGCCGCTCCGCGCTGCCCCGCGTGCGAACATTATGCCGCGCTTGGGCTCGGGGCGGCCTGGGTCTGCTGGGCCCCGGGCCGAGCGCAGCCCTGCCCCCCTCTCCCCCCTCCTCCTTGATCTTATTATTATTTCTGACTCGTCTCTGTGTTTCCCTTTTGTTTCAGTGCTGGGACCATTGCGGGCGGCTGAAGCGGGGCCCGGAGACTCTGGCGAGCGTCTGCAAGGATTCGTATCTCTGTGTGAGTATATATATACAGCACCACAAGCACAACATCAACCTCCCCTCCCCCCTCCTCGCCGTCGTTGTCGTCGTCGTCGTCGTCGTCCTCCTCCTCCTCCCCCTCGTCCCCCGCCTTCATCTGCCGCAGCAGCGGGGCAGTCTGCTGCGCCTTTAGTCCAGTCCAGTCCGCATTTCAAGTCGAGTAAATCCAAAGCGAAAGAGCGTCGACCGTATCGCGCCAACAAAAGCAGGTGAGGCTCGGTGAGGTGTCGGCAGACATGTTGGCGGCGGGGCGAGGGGCGAGGCCGGGCGGCCAGAGGCCTGGCATGGGCCTGGCCAGCAGCGCGGCCAGCAGCAGCGGGGGCAGCGGGGGTGCAGCGGCGGGCGGGACGCTGCTGCTGCTGCCTCTGCCTCTGCCGCTGCTGCTGCTGCGCGATCGCAGGAGGATATGCAGAGGCGAGGGTGAGAGAAGGGATCAGGGAACATTGATCGGAGGAAAAGAAACGACTGTCTTCGTGATGAGGAGGAGGAGGCGAGTGGTGGTTAGGAGGGGTCAGGGGGAGTGGAAGGAGTGCGGAGGAGCGGCGGGGGAGGAAACACAATCGCGTGAGGATACTGATGGGCGGACCGAGCGCTGCCGTTTTGAGGGAGAGAGGGAGACGGAGTGAGAGACGTAAAGGAGGGAGAAAGAGAGACGGAGGAGGAGAGGGAGCGGGGCTGAACGATCCTGGCGTCGGCGGCGTGATATGCAGATTATGTGTGGGTCACGTGACTGACGCGCCTCTCCTCTCCTCCCTCTCCGCCCCTCTCCTCGCGCGCCCCCTCATGCCCCTCCTCCTCGTCCTCCTGCTTCTCTTATTGCCTCCACATCCGCTGCAGCTTTGTTGACGATTGATGCAGAGAGGAAGAAGAGGTTTCGGAGTTTCGGCAGGAGGGAGGTAGAAAAACTTCACAGAATCTTCGTGGGGAAAGTAAGGGGATTTGCACACCCGCGAAATGATAATGGCAGTGTGCTATTATTAGGGTCCGGTTCGGCGGTGGAAATCCGTCCGTAAGCTTCTCCTCCCTTGGCGCGCGCATTTCGTAGGAAGCAGCAGCAGCAGCAGCAGCAGCGGAGGGTGTGAGAAATGAAAGCGACAGCAGCAGCAGCAAAAGGTGGAGGGCCGTGTTGTATTTCGGAATGTTATTATTGCAAACTTCGGCGGGTCTTTGTGGTCCGCGACACCTCACCTGACACCTGGTCGCCCGGGCCGTGGCAGGCCGGGCGCGGCACGGCACGGCCTGCCCATTCTGTCCAAAGGCCTGTGATGGCGGTCTGTGGCTGGCGCGCCAGCGAAGCGAGTGCGGCGGCCGCACGCCAACCTTCCCCGTCCAGCTGCACAAGCACCCTCGCCGCGGCACCTTCACACCTGCAGCTGCTGCGGCTCCTGCGGGTGGCGCCGCCGTCTGGAGCCGCCTCCTGGAGCGGCCTCCTGGAGCGGCTTGGAGTCTAGTGGCAGCTGCGGCAGCGCGGCGCTTTGCTGGCGTTCGTTTTCCCGGCAGTGTCCTGGCGGTGGGCGCCCACCGCGCCCGGCCGGCCTAGAGAGACTATAAGGAGAGAGGCGACAACTGCCGGGCGCGCCGCTGCGCTGTGATTGGCCAGCTCGCTTTGGTGCCCCAGCATGCACCCGCCGGGCGCTGACTGGCGGGGCCCTCCGCGCGCCTAGGGCTCGGGGCCCGCTCGGGCCCGCTTCGGCCGACCCGAGCCCCGAGCCGCGCGGCGCCCCGCCAGTCAGCGCCCGGCGGGTGCATGCTGGGGCACCAAAGCGAGCTGGCCAATCACAGCGCAGCGGCGCGCCCGGCAGTTGTCGCCTCTCTCCTTATAGTCTCTCTAGGCCGGCCGGCGCGCCGCGCAGAGAGAAAAAGGCAGGAGGCGCGAGGCAGTGGGAGGGGATCGACCCCCGGACTTCCTGCCGGTGGGCCGCGGCAGTAAATCTGCCGGCGTGTTGATAGTTGCGCCCCGCCCGGCCCCGGCCCTGGTGGGCTGCCGTGGTGGGCTGCCCTGGTGGGCGGCGAGCGGCTGAGCAAGTTCACTCGCACTCCTGTTTGGTGAGGACCAGGAGCCGGGAGCCGGCCCCGCCGCGCCCCGAGGCTGTAAACACCAGGCAGAGGGGCCCGGTGCTCCTCTCCGGGCCACTCCAGCAGCGGCTCCAGCAGCGGCTCCAGCAGCGGCCGGGTGGCCAGGCCTGGGAAGCGAATGGCTGGAGCTGGATAGCCGGTGCTGCTGCTGCTGCTGGAGAGCCTGCCTGGCTGCCCGCCCGACAGCCGGCCAGCCCGGCAGGCAGCCAGCGTGCCTGGGCACCGCCGTACCGGCCAGGCAGGGAGGCCAGCGCCAAGGCGGGGTCATAATTGTGAAGGTGTGAAATGTGGGCGAACCCGGGTCTCGGCACGGCCCAGCTGGGCCGGGTGGGGCCCCCGGGCCCCCGGCATGTGCTGGCCGGGGCCCTCGGGTCCCAACGGGGCGGGGCGGGGAGGTGGGGGCGGGCCGTGTCCCATGCCGTGCCACGCCACGGCCCGGCTCGGCTCAGGTTTCCGAGAAGAGCCAGCGGGGTGGTGGCGGAGGTGCGGGGGAGGTGGTGGTAGTAGCCTCCTCCAAGGTGCCCAAGGTGCCAGCGGCGCGCCACCGCTGCGCGCGCCTTCGAAGGTGGCGGAAGGCGGGGGCGTCGTCGAAGCCTGTGGTCGTGGGTATGAGCGGGTTTCAGGACGCAGTCGACGCAGTCCACCTCGGACCGCGCTTCGATCGTTTCGCGACAGCCAGTGCTCGCCTCGCCGACCCCCAGCCGATTTTGATGCCTGGACGACGCACCCCATGCACGGCCGGCGGAGCTTTATCCAGGCGGCCGCACAGCTGGACAATAGCGCGTTGGTTCGGACCCTTCGGACCCCGCCCCGCCCCCGGTCAGCAATGGATGGGCGCTGTGCGGCGCTGTGGGCCCACTGTCGAGGCATTATTATCTGAAAGGGAGCTCGCCTCAGACTGCTGCGGAGCGAAGAGCTTGACCTCTCGCATCCTCCGCCACTCATTGTACCATTATAATTTCTATGGCACCTTCAGAGCGGCGGCCAGCGCGGCGGTCGGACTCGTCTGACCGAAAACGTTTGCGGGCCTCCCTCCCCTCCTCTCGCCGCCCCCGCCACGCCGGCCCCTCCATCTCTATCCACTTTGCGACCCGCCGCGCTGTCTGCCGCCCTGGAAAACCCGTCGCGCTGGTCGCGCGGTGCGCGGGCGTGGCGCGGCGCGGCGTGGCGCCTCTAGGATTGAATGGGTGGCGGCGGACATCCTGCCCCGCCCCCCGGCCC